GGCGCAGGCTGTGCGGGGCTCGGTGTAACCTTCCCCCCGGGGTTGGAAACACCCGCCCAGAGCTGTCAAACTGATGGAGCAAGTGCGTTTCGGAGTTTTTTTTGTTTGGGTTTTTTTTTTGTCACCATAGCAAACAGCACCTCGGCGTCGCACCTCGAGGCTTACTGCCGCCAAAAATAGTGAGAACGAGGTTACTTTTTAACGATACAAAGATGTTCCTGTTTGAACAGTAAACTTGGGGGTTTTTGCTTGTGTCCTGGTTTGACGGTAATACGTGTGGTTTATGTTTTGTTTCAGGAATGCAGTAAAAAACAGAAAAATGATGACACACAAAGTACATCTATTGATGCGTTGAGTTCAAATGATGGTTTTGAAGAGGTAATGTTCCTTCTAAATGTAATCATGTGTTGGGTTTTTTTGTTGTTGTGTACCCCCAGAGGGGGTTTCAAGTGGTGACCTTTCATGTGCTAAATGTAACCCTAATCAACAAGCAGTTGTAAGCAGTTATGAGCACTTTAAACGTCTCATAACATGAGAATCAAGAACCTTTACAAAAGGTGAAATAAAAACCCTCTTGCTATGCAAATACAAACCAGAAAGTTCTAACGAGTTCTAAATGTTTTTTTTTTTGAATGTCAGAAATGTTACATCGAGTCTTTGAAACAGAAACAGAGCTTGTTTTGAAAGGAGTCTTGGTAGTACAAGTGCACAGAATGTCTTCTTACTCTTTATGTTGCACAAACTTAGAGATCACCGCCTGTTCTTCAACACATAACTGGTTCCCTGGAAATGGGTGAGGGGTTTAGGGGTTGATCTTGGGGATTTTTTCCTTTTTTTTTTGTTTGTTTTATTTTGGTGGAGGGTTAAATTTAGATCGATGTTTGCTTTTAAACAGTTTGCAGTTTCACAAGAATAGCAGCAGAGCCATGGAGAAGGATGCAACAAATTGTTTTGATTGCTTCTAGACAATCTAGGATGTTATGCAAGTGTCATGGATTGCCTTGTCCTAAACAAAACAGTGGCAGCACGCTTGCTCTTCAGCTGGGTCATTGCAGAGGTCTTGAAAATTCATTGATTGTTATTAAATACTTGTTTGCTTTTTTCCCCCCCGCAGAAAAATGAGTTTGATATATTGGCTAATGCTAAAGTATTGCTTAGCGACTGCCTAGCCTGTGACAGCTGCATGACATCGGAAGAAGGAGCCAGAGTTTTCCAACAGAATCAGAAGGAGCTTTTTCGTATTCTTAACCTTAATAAGGTAAAGTGACACAAACAATAACAGACTGTTCTCTGTAAGGAGGAGGCAATTATGGAATGACTAAACAGCTTGGTTTCCCAAGGCAGATGATGTGGCAATTTGTCAGGATATGAGTTTTCCAAAGAGGAATAGAAAACTTCAGGCAAGATGAACATGAAAGTACTTAAAATAATTTCACAGTAGATATGTAAGATCACAGCACCTAACCGAAATGCTACAGGAAAGTCACTGCATGTGCAGAAGAAAAAATTGCAAAAATCATGATTAACTTACTACTGTAATAACAAATTAGTCTGTGGTTCAGTGTTCATAAATCCTCCTACCTTCGTTACTAGGACTGTTCTGGGTGGTTTCGGTGCCGGTGTGTCCATGTAACACAAGTTATCAAGGCATGGTTTTGGAAGTAGAATTGTTTATAGTATCTATTCAAGCTGACTATATTTGTAAGAGAATTTTTTGTCCAAACTCTTAGCAAAACTTAGAAAAGTGTTCTGTTGCTGTCTTGTTTTCTGCCGAGATCTGGATTTCCTGGAACACATTTGCTATGGATGATGCTCAGATCTAAAGATCTCGATACTGAATTAAGTATTTTAGTTCTGCTCCAAACTTCTGTGTCTTTACTTAGTATGCAAAAAGCTACCGCAGTTGATGCTTCCTCTTAATCTGTAAGTGTCATGATAAGAGGTTTCCTTACAACAGTTTTCTTACAACTACTTTAACTGTCCGTACAGTCTGATGTTATCATACATGAGAAAAAGAGAAGAAAGGGGGAATCAATCTTTTGGTTCACATGGGTCCTATTAAGAGAGCCTAAAGTCTACGACAGGGAGGCAGCTGGGTTCCTCGGTCTGAACTTCAGGGGTCCAAAAGAGGACACGGAGCAAGAGGTGCTTTCCAGGCAGTCACAAGCTCTACTTAAAGGGTCATTATACACTTTTAGGGTGTCTAAGTACAGACTAGGGTCCTTAGTCTTTCTAGGGTGAGACTGTGGTGGCAGAGTGCTCCTGGTGTGTCTTCCAAGGGTGTGGAAAATGTCCCAAGTAAAGCATGAGATTCATCTTTAAATAAATGTCACAGTCATCAGAGCTTTACAGTTGCACACCATGGTAGGTATTTTCAAAGAGTTCTTCAGTGTTTACAAACACTGGTTTGTTGCAGGTCCTAATTTGGAAGTTTCCCTCAACAGCTTCAGTGAGAGAGACATATGAGCCTTAAAAAAGGATCAGATCTGTAATTTGCTGGGTTGGATTTGTAATTTAAATTTCCTGTGCTCTTGTAAACATAAGTTTATCTGTTTATGTTTTAATGCTTAAACATACAGCGAGTTTCATATTGTCGCAGGTGCTGAATGTCTCTTAACTTCCCTTATGCCATTAGGAGACCAACCACAGAATTGTCTCAGGAGGGATGGATTTCCCCAAGTTACATAAAAGGAACATTTACAGATGTTTAGAGATCAAAACTGACAGGATCAGAGGAACAGCCTGTCCTGCCTTCGGGAAACCTGATAATTGTTCCATCGGGGTTTTAATGTTACAGCCCACTGAAGCACAGGACGCCGAGGAATAACTCAAGGAGTGGAAAAGGGAGGGAAAGTAGGGAGCCTTACCCTGTTGTAATTACATACCTTGTTTCCTTTGGTTTTGTTTTGTCCACCAGAAATGTGATACCTCAAAACACAAAGTGTTGGCAGTGTCTATATGCCCTCAGTCATTGCCTTATTTTGCTGCTAAATTCAATCTCTCCGTGAATGATGCAGCCAAGAGACTCTGTGGTTTCCTCAAAAGTCTTGGTAAGTTTGGGTTTGTTACGGTGAAGCAGAAAGGGGAGAGATGATTTTAGGTGTTTGTTTCCTGGGCAGAATTTTAATGCAGCCATAAAGTGCCATTGCACAATCTAGTTTAGAGTTTGAAATGTGCACTCTGTGATATTTCTGAAAGTGCACCAGTATGACATGCACTGGTTTCAGCAACGGATTGGAGGCACTACCCTGTTCATAGCAAAGGTCACGGAACAGAAAGACGTTATAGAGCTGTCTCCAAAACAAGAAGTCAGGGAGGATTTGGTCATGAGCTTCAACAAGATTTCCCTTTATTTTGTAACTTGAGGAAGGACGGAATTCTAATTCTGAATGTCTTCTGGTGCCTTTGACACATTGTATCTCCAGAAGCTTCTCAGTTCTGTTTTTCCTGTAATTCAAAATTGCGTGCAAAAACTCTTGTATGTGTCTGTTTTATGTTGAAGCTATATTTCCTTTGTGCTTTATACTATATATACAAACCAACAAAAATCCCAGCCCACCACTTTACCCATGGTTTTGGGTTTTTTTTATGTACTTGAGGGCGGAAGGAAAGGGACAGTAACAAACCCATAAGCTGTTTCTGTATATAAATATGTATTTTTTCCATAGTATTTATGCATCTCTGTACCCAGTAGATTTTCTTCAGCTAAAAGAAATGTTGTGGTGGGCCCCACTTTCCTTAGAATGTGTTAATTATCTTTGCCTCACATGCTGCGGGGACGTGCTCACTATAACGTAGGCGTATGGGGAGTGTGTGGCTAAATAAGGCGAGGGAAGGTCTCTGCTGCATTGGTGATAGGCTCGTGCACCTTTGCAGAAAACTTCAGCAATGGAAGATGTGCCTCTTAGCTGGATCTGTTTATTTGCGGATAATGATACGCTACTTGGGCATGTCTTGAAAAGAACACTCCTTTTCAGTGTAGCCCAGGAGTGGTGAAATCCCATTCAGTTAAACAAAGTAACTCCATGCAGAATGGCAAACTTCCCATAAGGAAGTAGAAAACTATTGGGAGTGTTGCTAGTCAGCATTAGCAAGTTGGTCGTCCTTTTAAATTCATCATGTAGAAGACAGCTTCTCAATATATGGCCCTTATTTTTTATTTTACTATTTGTGAAAATTTGGAGAGGGGAAAGAACATAACCTGGAGACCTAGAGCTTAGAAAGAAACTTGTGAGATTGAAAATATTCTAGTAATTTAATTTTCCTTGCTACTTTCTTTCTTAGGGGTGCATTATGTCTTTGACACCACTATAGCTGCTGATTTCAGTATCTTGGAGAGCCAGAGGGAGTTTGTGCAGCGGTATCAGCGGAGGAACCAGGAGGAGCATGCCTTACCAATGTTTGCCTCTGCTTGCCCTGGTGAGAACAGATTTCTCAACCCTTCCTGCCCTTCAGCCTAGTCTCACTGGAACTAGCAGGGAACTGAGGAGAGGCTGGTTTCCTCTGAGAGCCTTGCATGACTTACAGAAGCTTGGCTTTGCTTTTGAGAGATACCAAGTGCTCACAGTACTTGTTACCAGTAGCACTGATTATCCGGAGTGCGCTTCAGCATGTGGCTACGTGGGCCTGTCTTTTGTGGGCTGTTGGGAGAGCAGAATTTGTTTCCAAAAAGCACCGAGTGAGGTGGCACAGGTGTACGTGTGAACCCTACAAAGAACGTGTGTGATTGTGGATAAGGCAAGTGCTTATTCAGTGTAAGGGTCTTACACAGTCAGATGCAAAGGTTGCAATAAATTCCCTATCGTCATTTTACAGTCGTCTTCTGTAAAAGGTGAGGGGTGTAAATTCTGTGTTGCGCTTCAAAAAACAAACAAACCCCCACAAAACAAAACAAAACAAAACCAAACCCCCTTTGCTATAGTCCACAGCCTCTGATACTACAGAGCACTGCTGATTTCTTGTGCTAGTGTTCATGTGATATTTATTTGTCAGTTGTACTTCCCATCACTTGTACAGAAGAAGCACATATTGCATACAAGTCTCTGGATAATATAACTGAGGTTCAGAAGCGCTGAGGTTTTTTTAAGTGCTTTGTCTAAGACCTTAAGAGAAACGAGTCAGAACTCAGAGTTAGTGGCTGCTGCTCGTGCGTTCAGATCGCAAAGCTTAACATGGTGTTTCCTGACTGAAAAGAATCTTTAAGGAACTTTACTAACTGATGTAATTAAACCACAACCTCCAGTATCTTAAGCCAAGTTTTGACCTTGCCATTTAAGCCTAAGGGAATGCAGCAAGTGACATTGCTCTAAAAGACACAGAGATAGTTATGGCTAACACTTAAAAACAACTCTCACTTGAAATGTCACAAACTTGACTCAGTGTCTCACTTCTGAGAGTTTTGCACCTAAGAACTTGTTCTGGTATGAACCAAACCTGCACCTATCAAAACTGAGAAGATGTAGAACATTCAGTCACTGTTTACTTTTTCCATTCGTTAGCGCACTGTCATTTCAGTTTGTCATGTTCCTAAAAAAGTACTTAAAAAGGAGGTAAAAGTTTACCTAAGCACCATCCCTAAATGCCATAGTGTTACTTTTCAAAAGGCTAATAAGAATACAGAAATATTTCTTTCTAGCTTTGAAATAACTTCAGTGGACTGCATTCTTTAAAGAAATGTTACAGTGACAAGAGAGTGAGTGAAGAGTTGTATTGGGTGATCCCTGGAATCTGCTGTTGTCGTCACTGGTTTAAAGTTTAAATCCTGCTGTTTGAATTATACTTGTACTTTTGTTTGTTCTGTGTATTCTCTCGTGGAAGTACCTGGGTTAGGCTTTAGGAACTACATATATGTATTAGGAGGTAGAGTCTGTTGTTTTTCTGTTAGTGTTATCTCAGTGTCACCTCTTGTCTTCAGGAGCAGACGTCCTCTGTTGCTGAAACAACCCCCTGTTACTGTTACTGAGCTTTGTCTTGTACATGGTTTATTTAAAATTAAAAACCTGAGGATATCTTTTAGAACTTCTGGGATAATCTTATTTTTCTTCATCTAGAAAAAGCTCAGATTATCTGCTGCTCTCACTGGAAATACTTTAGAGTAGTTAATGGTGTGCTTGTCTGTTCTACAAAAGATTGTTTCTGTTTTCAGTGCTAGTGTTAGCGCTCTGCTGTGGTACAGATGTTAGTAAAAGCACGGGTGCTTTCCATTTCTGGAAAACTGAACTGAAATATCACTGTAAAGCCATTCTGAAAGCATGATCAGTCATCTTTACAGTCCTGTTCTTCACTGTTTCCTGACTTTATCTGCATTTTCTGTTCCTCATTCTCCTCCTCTTTAGCCCCAGATTACATAAATTTGTTCTAGAAGTGTTGTTTACTGGGTGTGTTTATCACAACCTGTTTTTTATATACCTCTGTAAATACCAGGTCAATGTGAACTCAGGTATAACTGCTTTACTCTTACTTACCTTTGGGTATAACTTTGCACAGAAATAGCACTCTCTACAGGAGTGCTCTCTGGTGGAAAATGTACCATGAACGAAAAAGCATGGCCCATACAGTCCCAGAACCTAAGAAAAGGACATCTTACTGTCTCTGTCTTAATTGTTCTTGCCTCTTCCTGCTGCTCTCTTAAAAAAAAGTAAGCTAATTTGGGGGAGAGGTCCCTGTTGAAAGTACAATGGTGTAAATACTGTCGCATGTGCCAATTCTCAGGTGGGATCAGCTGTCTTCCTTAATTTCCCAGACTGGTAGGCAGCGTGGGGCACTTGCTCTGGGAAGCAGCCAGCATTTTTAAGGCACTGCCAGCCTCCGGGAACTCCTAGAACAGGTCGAGGGGGTGGTCTTAGCAGTGTACATAGGAACATAACTATTGAGGATTGAAATGCTTTGGTCAAATACACTAATTTCCTTTTACAGTAGCAAAAGTTTTCTTAGCTTTGCATTACTTTATACTGATGCAGAGGTGTTTGTAGCCTGCGTCTTTGATCTGCTCATGATAAACCACTAAAAATAACACGTGTTGATGTACATCTGCAAGAATTTATACAGTGATTTGTGGGGATTTCATGTTGTTCTTTGCTAACACACCAGCAAATGGCCAAGAATCTGAATGAATTTATGAAGGGTGTAGGTCTCTGTGGGTACAGAGGTACGTTGATAGAAGAACTGGGTATATTAGGCTTCCTGTAGCTGTGACTCTGGAATTCAGCCCTGTTGATGATTAGGCAAAACAGCTACTGTGTATGCAAAGTGCAGATAAATGTCTCATGTTGCTCTTTCACCAAGGCTGCTGGTATAATTAAACAGTGAGTAATGGTCATTGCGGAGTTAGCACTCCTAGGCACTTGGTCCCTCTACTGCAAGGAGAGAAACAATTTAAGAAATTGCTTTGGGCAATACCTGCCAGAAGTTTCCTGGCATTTGGTGAAATTTCCTTGTAGTTCATGACTGCAATATCTAAAACGTTTCAATTCTAAAAACTCTTGGTAGCAGGAGTGCTGTGATGATTAATGGTAATCATAGTGGCAGTATAAGGGAAGGACCTTCCACAAATGCTACTGAAGTACAAGGCAAGTTGTTTTTAAAAATTTGTCCTTATTTTATCTGAAGCAAGTTGTGGGCATTTTTCGTATTTTGACAGCACTTGAGACTAAAGCCGTTGAAGAAATAGGATACACATGTCATACAGAACATGCTAATCCAGCCTTTGCACCAAGCCCCAATAAATTAAGTCCTTTGTTGCAAGTAATATCTTGGACTTAAAGTACCAGTTGAAGTTGGACATTAAGCAAACTTTGTATTCAGAGTCTAGGAATGCAGCACTCCTGACATGTAAATCTGTAGTCCCTAGCTTATTCTGTCACAGAAATGAATGTTTGTTAAAGAATGTATGTCTGAGATTTTATTGCTTCTACTTCTCTGCTGTAGAGAGACAACCTGCCTGAACGCCCCTGGGATTCCAGTTTTGTGCTGCTGTTGGCCTTTGTGGCACTGCTCTGATTTAAACGTTACCAGGCGTTTACACATGTGTTAATTCTAATCTTAAGAATTAACCTTCAGGTTTTACTTTTCCTGGGCAGCATGTACTTCACAGCAATTTTTCTTTTATACTTTAGATGCTAATCAATTTGAAGATAAAACACAAGTGTAAGGATTTTTCACTGTTTGTTAAAGGATAAAACACAAACACAGAAAGCAACATGCTTCCCTGGAAGCCTGGCCATAACACTTTAGGTGGTTCTCGTTCATGTAGGTAAAGCCGAAAGTTCTGAGTCCTTACTGTGTAAGAGTCTGGGTTGTGTTTTCAGTAAGAGTTGCAGTGCCTACGGAAGATTTGCACACCCTCAGTATCTTCATCCATCAGTTCCTGTTCTGGAAGGTGGGGAATAATAGAATTGCTGTGGATACTGGGGGTGGTGTGAATGTACATGGCTTGTCATAGCTGAAATGCTGAAGGAGTCTGGTGAAAGGGAGGAGATTTCTTGAATAACTAAGGCAGACAGTTGAATACAGAGAGATTGGAGTTGATTTCCGTGTGGTTGAGCCTGTGGGCGTTTCTGCAGAAGGTGTGGCTACTCTAACAATAGTAAAAGAAGCCATTTCTTTCCAGGCTTAATCATGTGCGTCTTGTGATAATGCTTTCATGTGACTCTTGTGTTCTCAAGGAGGCAAGCTGGATATTAAATCTCGGGAAACAGAAGGTTACAGTTAAGCAGCTGAACAGAGTACGTTTGTTGAAGTATCTGGTGATCCAAGGGCCGAGGTCTAGAAAGTCAACTTATTCTTTGTTAGCCGGGGTCCTGTTCTTTCTGCTTTGTTAAGTCCGTGCATTAGAAACGGTGTAATAGGTCATGAACTTCACAGCAGCTTCTAGGGCTGGAATCAGTGACACAATGAGTTACTGATAACCAACTATAAAGCGTTAGTAACAGAGCCTTGAGGTTCCCTACAGTTCCCAACGTGGGAGTTCCAACCTACACAGAAATACTCTACCTACTGTGAAGGTGTCATCACTTCTAGTTGCTGTTCTGTGACTGTTGCCACTGTGCCGTGCTTATGTGCCACTTCACTATCTTAACTGGTTTTCTGTCGCGGTTCTAGGTTGGATCCGGTACGCTGAAAGGGTACTCACCAATCTTGTGACCCCTCACATTTGCACTGCAAAGTCTCCGCAGCAGATCATGGGCTCCCTGGTGAAGGGTTACTTTGCCAGACAGAAGGTAAGCAATTCTGATTTATTTTTATGTTTATACTCTTCTAAAAATGGATGAGTGAGTTTTCAGCCTGAAATATATAGATCTTAATATATTATAAAGTGATAAAGCATCTTCCTGAATTGGTCGTCCTTAATTGAGGAATAAATGGTGAAAGTGAATGATTGACAGCTAGAAGACAGACCTCTGAAATCCTGACTTGCATTCACCTTCTGAGGCACCCAAAAGCTGCATAAAATTTGGTCTGAAGGATTAAGGAAAAGTTTCCGCCAAAAAAACTGGCTTGAGATGTTTGCTGATGCTTTGTGACTTCTGGCAAATCACTTCATCATCTGGGTGCGGCAGTCCTTAAATTTATTGCTAGGTCTTGATTACTATTACTACCTGGATAGAGTTGGTGATGCTGTTACTGCCCTTGTTATCCTTGACAACCTTTTGCTCTTCATGGAGTTCACATGTGCTTTCTTCCATGTTCTGCAGAACTTGTCTCCTGATAAAATTTTCCATGTAATTGTGGCGCCTTGTTATGACAAAAAACTGGAAGCCTTGCGGGAAGATTTCTACACCGCCTTGTATAATTCACAAGAAGTTGATTGTGTTCTGACATCAGGTTAAATCTTCTTTAAACTTACTATTTATGAAGATATAAGCGAATCACCATTGTTAGACTAACCTTTTGCCAAATCTGCTTTAGTTGCAAGGCTGGCTTTTTTTCTGCTTTAGAAATAAGTATATGTTTTGCCCTGCTGGTAATATAGGTATGGTATAGGGAAAGCAAAGCCAAAAGTGCTTTCCATCTAAGTTGGTATTCATCTGAAAACAAGATTCAGGTATTTGGGTTTGTCAGCCTTTTGAGAAAGGTCAGAGTTAGGCAGTTCCATCTTTAAAGTCATTGTCTTGCTGTCTGGTCATTATTTAACCTCCGCTGGGATTATTCTTAACATTCAAAATGCTTGGCAGCAGGGGCTTTTTGGAGTGGCTCTTGTCCGTAGACTCAGTGTCCACATGACATACCCTCCTTTTCCCACTGCGGCTTTCCAAACAGGAGTTTGGAGCAAGCTGAAGGCCCTTTTCCCCAGGGCTGGCAGTGTCAGGCTTCTGTTACTGGTGGGAACAGACGCAGGTTAAAGAGTTGCACATACAGGTGTTGGGCTGTCCATCTCTTAAGCAGAGGCACAGCATGTGCATTTTGCTTTGTGTTGAAAGTAAAATACCATGTTTTCTTACAGGTGAAATTGTCCAAATAATGGAACAGAAAAATGTGTCCATGAAAGATGTGACTGAAGTAGCTGTAGATAGTTTGTAAGTAGTTTCTTCCTTATTTCCTTCTTATTTTGATGATGAATGACACTGCCTGGAGAATATTCAACATAAACGTAAAACTTCAAAAAGAAGGTTTTTTCTTTTTAAAGGAAAAGAGCCTACATCAAAGTCTGAGTATACTAAAGCCTCAACTTTTATGTAGTGGTCAAAAAAACCCAAAGTATTCTTTTGGATGTTTATTGCTATGTATAAAAGTAATATGAAACAGATAGTATAAAACTGTATGTACTGTCTAAATACAAAGCAGACCATTTGCGGTAATGACCCCTATCTAGTGACTCCTTATTTATATTTTAATGCAGTAATGTTAGATTAGACTCTACAAAGTTCATGAGTTGCTAGGAAGTGTGGCTGTCTCAGGGTGCTGACCATGGTCAGACCTCTCCTGTGCCTGAGCTTGCAGAAAGCTGAACACTCTCACCCATCCCCTCTCATCGTCCGGCCTCACGGAGACGCTGGATGCAGCCGTGGGGCTGACCAGCTCTGCTCTGCTCCCCTCTCAGTCATAGCAGCATCTTCACTATAAATTTCCACTTCCCCTAATATGTTTGTGCAGAACTGAGAGAAGTAGCACCCTTTCAGGAAATGATAATTTTTATTTATTTTGTCTGCTGAGGACAGCAGGTTTTCAAGATTAGATAAAACTGAATCTTGCTTTAGATGAAAATCACACAAATCGTTCAGGAGATTTCGTTTATGGCTGGCTCAGAAAGCAGCGTGTGGGGTGCTGAGCTCTCAGGCTTAGTTACAAAGGCTGGGCTCGCTGCTCGCTGATCTTTGCTCAAGTGTGACAGATGTTACTTGGTACTTTTCCAAAGTGGTGGTAGCAGAGCAATAAACGTGCTTTCTTGCATGAAATAGAAAGCTCTGGAAATTTTTAAAAGCCCTTTTCACTATGAGTTAGTCTTCTGCTTGGACCTTGTCTAGGCTGGAGAAATTTAAGTGCTGTGTTTGTAGTGTAGCTCCTGTGATCACAGAATGAGAATTACATAAATGAAGTTCTTAAGAGACATAATTACATAGAGGTCACTTATTTCTAAGCCTGTCCAATGAAAGAACAAGGTCTTAGTCAGAATATACCTGCTTTATTGGATCAATTTATGTGGAAGAATAACATTAATTTTTGAAAGGACTAATTGATAAATAATACTGGTTGATAATACTGGTTAGAGCTGTGAGACCTGGTGATATAAATTTTTGCTCTTCTGGGGTCTTAAAAGTAGATTTTGTAGAGAAGTGTGAGTTCCTGCTCTTAAAGCAAATCCCAGCACGGCAGCAATTTTTGTGGTAAAGTCCTTGGTATTAAAGCAGTAGTATGAACAAAGTAACTCACGTGTGAGTTCTCACCTGGCTTTTGTGGCTAGAGCGTGCTAACAGCATTGGCTAAAAGTAGGAGACACATGAAACAAGATCACTCAAAGTTCTTAAACCCCAGGAGTTGCAGCAGTTGGCACGTAGCTGCAGTGGTGTGGCACAGAGAGGATGGACATACTAAATTTGTAAAATTCAGCTCTTTAGTGATTAAAACATTTCTCTGCCACTATTACAACTTCAGCGGTTTTGGTTAGTGAGGGGCTGGCTGTGGTAGTTGTCACCTGGGCTCTGTGGCTGAATGCGGCGCTCGGGCTGTGGCTCAGGCGGGAGCTCCTGGCACAGGCTGGGAAGGGTCGCGCTGGCTGGGCTGGGCAGGAGGTCAGCAGGCTGGATCTGGAGAGGCTTTGCCGTGGAAGATGTGATGGAAGGATGTGATGTGTCCGTTTGCTGAGCTGAAGACGAAAGTCTCTTCCTGAAACCGGCGTAAGCACACCCCCCCACCGATTCATCCTTCGCCAGAAAGGAACGTGTGTCTGTAGAGCCGCGGTTTTGAGCGATCGCCCACGACAGTTTAGGCTGCAGCCTCTGGTGCCCATCGTGCTGTTTTTGACTGAGGCAGAGGTGAACCTCCAGGTGAATATCGCGCCCATTGGATCTGATTTTCTTTCCTGAGCCGTAGCGTAGCGCTGAGCTTAAAGGTTCTACGGTGTTCTTAGCCTGGTCGTAACTGTAGTGACTGTCACACGGTGTTAGGGAGTGTGACAGACAGCTCTCGGGGCAGGAGGATTGTTTGTGAGCAAAGGCTTGTCACTTTGCAATTATTTTTATAGGCTAAAAAGGATTTACTTACTTTTTTCCAAAAACATCTCCTGAGCAGCAAATGGCTGTTAAGCAAGTCCTTGGGCTGTGCTCAATGTGCATTCTTATACATTACTGTTACTCGGGGTTTCTGAACATGGAAAGCCTTGCATCCTTTTATAGTGTTTGTTTTTAATATTATTATTTTCCATCATTTTACTGCTCTCCTGAGTGGTTTTTAATTTTTTTTTAAACTATAATAAATATAAATGTAAATATGTTCTCACTCAGTGCTCTAAAACTCTTTTTGTTGGGGGAGACAGAGAAGGGGGAAAACATACTAATTACTGAAGTGAAGAAACAGATTTTTTTGAGTTGATCTTTTTTTCTGTTGTTTTCTAAGGTTTGATGAAATAAAGGAGGGAGATGTTGTAAGGCATGATGGGAAGAGATCTGATGGGTACCTGGAGCACATCTTTAAACATGCTGCAAAGGAGCTTTTTGGCATGGATGTCAAGGAAATCACCTACAAAGCATTAAAGTAAGTTAGAGTTTTGTATCCTTGTTATGTAGAATGGGCTAGCTGGAATAGAATAGATTTTCAGTTGGAAGCCACCTACAACGATCATCTGCCTCACCGCTTCAGGGCTGAGCAGCAGTTAAAGCACGTTAAGGGTGTTGCCCAAGCACTGCCAGGCTTGGGGCATCACTAACCTCTCTAGGAAGCGCGTTTCAGTGTTTGACCACCCTCTTGGTAAGGATGTGGTTCCTAAAGTCCGGTCTAACCCTCCTCTGGTTTAGCTGTTTGCGACAGTGAACCCTAACGCAGTTCCTGATAACGTGGCTCTTTATAACCTGTACGTGTGTTGCAGTAAAGTAGCTCCTACTATCTTTAATTTTATTAGTAACTTGCCCACCTTTAAAAATTAAGTATGATTCTATTCCGAAAATTGAACCCCAACTTCTGCTTAACTCATTTCAGAAACTGGGAGAGTTCACTTTGATCTCAGTGTTACTCTAAAAAGAACAGCACAAGCACCTCTGAATACAAACTTGACACAGTTGGACCATCCCTTGGGTAATGCAGGGGTTTAAAATGTTCTGTGTATCCTTACAGGAACAAGGACTTTCAGGAAGTTACCCTGGAAAAGGATGGTGAGACAGTGCTGCGTTTTGCAGCAGCTTATGGCTTTAGAAATATCCAAAACATGGTTCTGAAGATGAAAAAAGGAAAGTTTTTATACCACTTTGTAGAAGTCCTTGCCTGCCCTGGAGGTAAGAATATTTGTGGATCCAGTCACTCTGCACACATACCCTGAATCTCAGAGGAAAGTTGTTCTACAGGAAGGCACTTAATTCCCTCTTAATTCTTTTCTTAATAATTTAAAATGTCTACTGTTTAATGAACAGTCCAGAACACCACTTACATGTGCAGGGTTGGCTCAGAAAGGGATTGTGTTTTCTAAAATTAAGCACAACGTTACTTGCTCTCTTCTGACCTATGAGTAAGTGACAGCATGGCTCTTATGATTATTTCAGACCTCAGAGGAAATACTCTAAAGTGGTGCCTGTCAAGGGCAAGAAAAGACAAGGAACATAATTAAGAACATAAAACCCCCAGAGAAAGCAGGGAAAGATTGTTGATGTGGAAACCTCATTTACATTAAGATGATGTTGATATTGGGGTCATTTTAAGTAAATAAACTGGCTGTTAGAATCTGTATCTAAAGAGACAACTTTTTTTATTTAGACAAGCATGAAAACAATTCCAAGATAACATGAAGTTCCGCTTTGTATCAAATCTCTATGACTCTTTGTGGCTTTTTTAATGTTTTAAAATTTTTTTAAAATTTGTTTTTCGCCTAAGGGTGCCTGAATGGGAAAGGTCAGGCACAAACTGAAGATGGAAAACCAGACAAAGCACTGCTTAACCAGATGGAAGAAGTATATGCTGCAATACCCGTGAGACTTCCGGAAAGCAACGTACACGTGCAAAAGATGTACCAGGACTGGCTGGAGGGCATGGACTCAAAGAAGGTCCAGGAAACTTTGCACACCAAATACAGTGCAGGAAATCAGACAGCAAGCAATTTGGATATCAAATGGTAATAAATCAAACGTGCAAAAGATTTGCTTAGGTTAGTTAGAGGTTCAGCACTGGAAACATTCTATGCAATCGCGGATGCTATGCACTAGCCGAGTGTATGAATGAGATGCTTCCTAGCTGTGCACTATTACTTGTGAAGAACCATTGCTTTTTCAAAACCAAGAGAAGTCTCTGAAAGCCCTGGTTCCTCCCATTGTCCTTTAACTGTCTGTAAGCCTCTGCATATAATGGATTTCTTTATTCAAAAACATGATCTTGCGAGGTACGTGAGCACTTTCTGCCAGGGGCAGGGAGGGTAATTACTGCTGAAGTTACTCCCTAAAGTGAAGGGTTCCCATCACTTCACAAAATGGGCTCCCCCAAGAAGGTGAGATTATTTCACTCCCGCTCTTAGGTGCGCAATCCCTTTCATCACGGGAAAACAGTCATCGTGAAATTCAGTGTTGCTGCAGTTGTTGTGAACTTGAGATTTACTTGCCTTGTTAATTAACCTTTACACCTTTATCACCTTTACAGGGATTAATGTGTATATGGAGAAGTCTAATGAATTTATCTATGCCTTTTAGCCATATTTTAACAAAAACTATTCAGTTGCAAACTAGACTCCATTCCTTACTGGTGTAATATCCTGTAAGGAGGAGGATGCTTCATAGGAGCTGAACTTGGGAAACTAGTGCTAAATGCAAACTTTCATTAAAAATAGTTCCAAATAGGTAGGTTGGTACAAAAGAACTCTTCTTTCCTTGTAAGTTTTCTTAGAAACTTGCAGCTAGGAAGAGTGGTGCTGCTTGCTTCGTCTGGCTTCTGTATGGGAGTGAAACATGCACACGCGCTGTCGCGGGAGAGCACGTGGTGCTGCAGCTTTGCTCGATCTGCTGAGCCAGGCTTGGAGCACTTCTATCCTCTCATGTTTCGGTACGCAGAGCACCAAATTGTTCTTTCATTTATCTCCATGCTGACGGACTTCTGTAAATATAACTTCATGGAGTGCCTCTGAAAAAAGTACTTAGCGATGCTTGTGAGCTCATCAGCGTTACTATACTTTGGCATCATAAGTTTTAGTGCACTTGGGTTGTTTCTTTTTTTAAGTTTGCTGTAGAGGTTTTATTTAATGGACATCTTAAAGTGAGATTTGCATGCAAGCTTTTCTGCAACCTCATGAGCTGTCGGAGGGTTATTCAAGAATGTGATGGACAAAAAACCCCCCCAAACTACTGCCAGTTTTCTCCTCTAGATTTTCCTAGTCGCATCAGATTTGTTCACGATTACTGGCTGTTGGAAGCTACCACAGTTTCAGCTTTTCTCTTCCAGCCTGAAACTGTGGATGGGCTTTTTCTAATAATTTCAGTCAGTTTGAATGAAATCTTCTTGTAAATTTGTTAATATTACAACTGTTTGTATGAAAAAGATCTAATACTGCAAAAACCTGTGTGTGTTTGAAATCTACATTTAACTTGGACACAGTGGATGGGATGAAAAGGCATCAGTGAAGTTAATGCAAGTTCTTGCATTGGCTAAACAACAGAGGCTCTAAAGGAGAGAGACTTAAGCATGTTACCCTGCTGACAATAGATAGTTCTAATGTGAAGCCATTAATAGAATTGGAGCTTTTACCTAAATAACAAAACATTTCACTTTGAGGGATATTTTCTTTCAGGGGCAAATGAGTTTAATTCCTGTGCTACCTGAATGCACACAATGAGACTATACCCATAAATTAGCCTCTGTAAGTTACTCCTTGTTGTGATAAAGACGTTATACTCACGTGGTGCAATATCAGAACATCAACAGAAATCTACCTCTGTACAGGAAGAGAGTCCAAAAGTCGTGGGAAGACCTGTGTATAGCTGAAACTCTAATAAATGTCTCCTAAAGAAAGATGGTGATGTTGCATGAAATTTCTCAGCAGATTACTTCTACGAGCAACATCCAACTCCTTTGGTCCAATTTTGTTTCTCTGTCATGATTTCCTCCAAAAACTTCAGCAGAATTATATTGTAATAAAGTGGTCTCGTTCTGCTTGTATAGGCATATGTTTCTATGTATATATGGTTTATAGCTTGATGGCATGTTTAAATTATACTGTTTCCATTATTTGTATAGTATGCTTATTTTTTTAACGTATGTATACTGGACAAAATGGTATGAAGAAGTGTTGTTTGCTTTTCTGAGGAAATCTTCGCTGAGCTACCCAAGAGCTGCCTTGCTGCGCTCTTTGCACAACGTGAAGAGTGCTCACCCGGCGCGGCCGGCCCTGTTCTCTTCTGCCGTGACGGTTGCCCGACGTGCCGCAGAGCTGCGCTTCCCGCGCGCGTGGGAGACCCGAGGATGGGGCCGGCGGGTGAAATGAATCTGTCTCCAATATACTGGGCTGTGCTCCCACTGCCCTGCCGCGGAAATAGGCGGCTCAGTGCATAAAATGAAACTCTTTCAGTTGAATCCACCGTTTCTTGCATCTACTCGAGCATTTGGAGGTCGTAGCAATGTAAAAATCGAGCCGATTATTTGTCTGCCGCAGTACTCGTTTTTAAAGATGAGGAAGGCATCTGACGGGGCAGCTTTTCGTGGCTGGAATGTATGTATTTAACTAGTGACTTACAGTGACTGATACTTGTCTATTCTTTTCTGGTCAGCTTTGTTTTATAAGACTTTTTGAAGTTAAAACTGATTTTAAGTTTTTAAAGCCCTTTTTTAAAGTGCCAGTTTATGAAGTAGGTTGGTTTTCCCCCTTAACTGTAATGTCTTTCCCCCCCACCTTCTTTCACTGAAGTTTTAGCATAGATCAGAAAACCTTATTACGACTTCATGTATAGTGAAATACTTGCCTAAGATTTGATTCTGGCCTTTAACTCTACAGTTGGGCAGTCTGTCATTGTTGACAATACGTGTTTCTAGCCACACTTTCTCAAACTACAGTGTTCTTTGGTTCCCGGCTGGGAGTTTGGCAACTAATAATTTTCATTGCTACTGCCTTTTCAGCAATGGGAAAAAGTTCCTAGTGTGGTCGCCGCCGTAGTGCTTTACTTCTCAGACGAATGTTGTGCTGAGACGATCTTGTCTCTAGGCGATTTTTAGAAAATACTAAATGAGAGGGACTGCGGGAAAGTAACTAGAAATGCTAAATTAATTTGGAAATTGTCTGGGGGAAACAAGGGATACGCACTGTGAGGTACTTTTGCTATGCCTTCCCCAGTAAGTTTGCCTCGGCCACAGCACCTTGTGTTCGCCTGCTGCAGTTACCGACAGACGTGGGCCGTGTGTCTGGATGCAGCAGTCTCAGCTGGATTATATTTGGATAATGTTCAGTTACCTAAATTTTGGTGCTTTGTATTCAAATGGAGCATGACCATGAATTGTCCTAAATAAATCTTGATACTGGATCATGTGCTGATTCTGCCTCGTTCCATACAAAGGCTGAACTCTTTTAAATACGCTTTGTTCTAACGTATGGGCTTGTCTGGTGGATTCAGCATGACACTTAGACAGTTTGGAGAAAGGGTTGGAGTTATCCTTGACAGAGAAGAGGGAGGTAACTTTTCATCCATAGATGGTGCAAAAATTTCTTTAACGAATTTAGCAAACGTTTCCACACCTTCCCTTGAACAGTTAGGACCTCAGCTTCCATAACTACACCTGAAGGTGGTCTGTGTGGTTTGTTTTTTTTTTTCCAAGGCACTGCAGGTTACCTGGCCAGGAGAAAAGAGGGGCAGGTGATCTGCAGGTTGGCACAGAACAGAGCTGCTCCTGGTGCTGTGTGAACAAGGACTAGTGAGGACAGGTTTTGAGGAAGGTAGCCAAGATGTCAACGTGTCCTTAGCTGCTCTTGAAATGAAAAATAGTGAGCACAGGCAACACCTATTTAAGTTAAGTTGTGCAGGACCCAGGCTCTGAGATTGTGCCCACTCTGAAGTCACAGCATTTCTGTCCCCACCTTCCAAGTGAGTAGTTGGGTGCACCTAAAAAAATAATGTCCAAATTCTGCACGTTTGGCTACCAAAAATCAAATTTTCCTCAGTATAAATGATTTTTTTTTTCCTCCAAGACTTAAAGTACACATATAGTAGTGGTAAAATATAGCTTAAAACCTAGTCCAATCATAGTAAGAGCTATTGAAAGTCTTATTTTGTCTTTTTTTTCGCCAAACACATAGCTCTTCGTTCAACTTCAGGATATAGCTCGGATCAAGGAAACGCCTTCGCCGTTCAGGGTCCTCGGGTTTTGGCTCGTTCTGGGCCGCCGCGGGCCTTTTTCCGTCGGTGCCGGTTACAGGTTTTATGACAGATTTTGTAGCCGCCAAGCGGCCGCCCCGGCAGCAGCGGGATAAAAGGGAGCGCCGTGTGGTAGGTTCTACCGAGATTTGAACTCGGATCGCTGGATTCAAAGTCCAGAGTGCTGACCATTACACCATAGAACCGCGGGGTGGCACTCGCCTCCGCGAGGCCGGACAATAAATTGCCGGTGACAGGTCCCGCACCCGGAGCGCTCGGCCGGGAGCGTCGCGCGACCTGAAATTTCCCGTTTATCCGGCCTCTTCCGTGGTGTAGCGGTGGCGAAGAGCACACAGGAGCCGCGGGAGAACAACTTTCAGCCACACGAACCCGAAACCTCCCCCGGGTCCCGGCGGGCGGCCTCGGCTTTTAGAGTGAGCCTCCTCATTTCGAGCCGTGCGTCCACAGACGGTGTTCACAGCTGAGAAATAAAAAGGATAAATAACGTCGTTTCAGTATCCTACGGCATGTATGAAATTTTTCAGGTGATGTGTGTGAGAATGGACTAAGCCAGCAGCAATAAAAAGTTAGATTTAAAGAAACAACCAGGTAACCTCCGTGGTTCGATTCACTTCCTCTTCTGCTTTGGAGCCGCTTTTCAGGTAGCACGTGCGGCACCGTCCGTAGTTTACCGCGTTGCAAGAGCCCCTGAAAAACGCTCCTTTGAGCTCCTTTTTCGCGATCATGACCATGAAATCAACCCAGCCCCGGGCAAAACCTTCAGGTTCCACCGAGATTTGAACTCGGATCGCTGGATTCAGAGTCCAGAGTGCTAACCATTACACCATGGAACCGCCC